CGTTTATTATGTCGCTCATTAAGCGACGCACTCGTCTAATAGATTGTTTCTGTTATGGGAAGTAATGTCAATTAAACGCCGATACTTTTGTCCGAAGAGCCGATTTGTTCGTCGAGATTAAAACGATATTCCGATGGTAATGCCGGAAGTGAATCGTGCTGTCGAAATGCCTCGAAATACATTGAAGCCGCACTGATGTCACGTTACTAAATCAGCTTTCTCTCCAACCTAAATGGATGGAGTGTATGGTCAAGAAATATATATTTCGTCGTAAAAAATAACATAGTTTGCTCTTACAGTTTAAGCTGCAAATCGCCGCTGCTGAATGCTAAGTGACTTCGATGAATCAGTATAGTGTGATCGATAAATCTTAACTTAATATTTCAAAGCAGTTGTAGTTGCAGTTATTGCATGTAGCAAAAGTTCTAATAAAACGTTATATTTGCTCTTCTGCATGTTTTCAATAAATTGACAATTTATATTAAAGACTTAAAAAGATTTTTATATAATTTTTGTATGAGAAAAGTTTAAGTAAATAATTCAATGTTATGTTGCTGTAAAAACAAAAGATTTGATTCTAAACTTTTTCGAGTTTTGTATTTTCGTTAATTTGTTATCAAGCTGATGCATGAATGTATTGTTTAATTATTATTAGTATCGCGTTAGAATCTGCGCTATGAACCTTGGTGAGCAACAGCTCGCACGATTAAAAGCGATTACTGTCGCGAGTTCCTTGACACAAACGTGTGAGACGCGCCAGGGGCATAAATGTTTAATCGATGCTGACATAACGATCGTAAATTGCGATTGTCCGACAAGAGGCGAACGTTTTTTTCGTTCGATGCACGCGGATGCACCGTTGTCTTTGCATGCGAGCAAAGGAAAAGAAATCCGCCACGTTTAATGATGATATAATCACGCACAGTCATCTTCTGTGTACTTACCGTTTCTCTTAATAATACGCATTTAATATTATACACGTTAACTTTCGCATGATAATGAAACACGTGACATTTGTATAAACCTGAATCTAAAATTTCTATAATTATGCACAAAAGAAGAAAAAGTATATTATTATATTTCTTACATTAGACTATTATATGCTGGACACACCCTAATTAATTAATTTCATTTTGAGTTTACTTCTTATAACGCAAAACTTATTTTTAGATTTAAATTTTATTCTTATGAACATGAAACTAATTATTTCCACGATATTATAGAATATTTAAGCATTAGCGTATGTATCGATCTATATTTTATCACACTGACGACACGCACAGGTAAGCGATCGTATTGATGCAACACGTCACAAGATTCAATGGAAATTATCGATCTAAACGAGGGCAGCCACATAATGACACACGACAGTGCAAACGCATGTAGTATGTTTTATAATATTTACGTGTCGATTTCCGGTTAATGCAGTCGAGATCATAACTCGTGTCAGTTCCACACGTGGTGGCTCGCCTCTCCATTTAACACATTGAACTCACCTCACGTGACTCCGATCAATACAGAAGCGTAAATTACTCTCTAAATACAACGGCTGCAACATCGCGATAAACTCTTACCTATACGCAGTGTTTTTCGTTTTATTTATAAATATATTACTACTGGGGCTGGTCGAATATTACTCCTGTGAGATAGTCTTTAAAGTGTCAAGCATCTATCCATTAATCAAGAGTAACGCGACATGTTGTTATATTTTACGATTATTTAATAGAGCTCTTAATATTCACGAGGCGGCAGAAATCACGTTCCCGTCATCAATTTTCTTAAAAAACTATCATCGACACCGATAGCTGTTCATATTTCAGTGCCGGCAGCCGGGGTTCCATTATCGATACTGAAATACAACGATTTATCTATTATTAGTCGCAGAAATGAAGATATACGCGACATGACTGATATTATGGTCATAAAAGAGAAAGATATTTCTAATTTAAATAAATTTGCTTATGAAAATCATTTAACATTTTTATTTCATAATGTTTCTAACTTTTAAATTTAAAGAACTATTAAATGACTATTGGGTATTTTTAAGCAATATTCACGCACAATATAAAACAGGGGGAATCGCTAATCAGAGTGCTCGTATTACGAAACATTCGATTCGATTCAAGTCCCATGCATCAAACGCCATGAGCGAACAGAATGACGCGACTGGGATATAAAATCCTTATCTTCCACAGACGCGAAGTCTTCGTTAAATTTATACCGACAACGGGAATCACGACTTTGTCCTATGTCGTAAATCCTGACAGACAGTCTTTCTTCTTCCTCGATACGCGCAACATAATCGCCTTTGCACGGCGAAGTCTCGAATTGAGCGTCTGAATAGCTGACACGACTCGTCCGCGGAGAAACTTTGTTCAAAGACATTCCAATTAAAACTTAAGCTATTGCCTTTTCCGGCAAAAAGTAATCGCGTTATCCTTTATTTATTTATTTATTATTTTATCAGAAACAGCAACAGCAATAAACGTCTCAAAATGTAATTATTAAAAATCGATATTTATTCGCAAGACTGTTTAAACTATTACCACGTCAGTACAGCTGTAACCACAGTCGTTTTACCTACGCAAGAAACAAGATATCTGGAGCTATTTATTCTTCTGTCCAGTGCTATTCCATTCACAAATGGACACCGAAGCTTCGAAAACGATTGCGGGGCCGGCCGTTTATTAAATTATAATGGTACAAGAAAGATATAAAAAATAGCAGTTGCCTGTAAAATTGCCATTGGCATTATCAACCTTTGACATTAGCATGTTCAATCCCTCACGAATACCAGGCGAAATCATCAATTGGCTGAAGACGTACGTGGGCAAGGACGTGCGAGCAGTAAAATGTAAAAGGGCGTAGATAGTTGGAGATACAGTCGGCTCGTCGTTCCTCGTTTTATTCAAATTTGATGGCTATCTCTTACATCACGCACATATAACATCATGTAATAAATTTTAATTAACATAGTGCCGTTGCCGCCGCGCGCCGCCAAGTTGCCAAAAATAAAGATACCGCGCAAATCCAGTCGTTTTAATTAGCATTAAATATAAATTATATATATACATATACTCGTATATTATTCGTTTCTCTGAATCATAGAAGAAACATCGTTTTATATTATAATATGTGTCCATTATAATATGTATTTTGAAATGTTTTCTAAACATACAATTTTGTATAGTGATTTCGTAAATAATTATTCTTCTTTATTATACATATATATATATATTTTTTAAGGTATTCTGTCGTTTATTAAAATATTTTTTGATGGAATGGACTGCATATTGAGATTTTTAGTCTCTTCAAATTTTCGAGAATTCTGTTTGAACCTTCTGTCATTCGAAACATATTTGAAAATATATGCCTTTCAGATATTTAAGATCGCGTAAAATCGCGCGATGTTGGCGCCTGTAATAACGGCGAGATATGGGTTACGTATGTCACAACGAATGGAAAAGCAATTCGAAAAATCGGTTCGAAGAAATCGAAGGGAAGGCCGAGAAGAGGATGAAGAAAACAGTGAAAATGCACGGCGAGAGAATCGCACGTGCAGCGGAATATAAAACGTTATATCATAGCGAGTGAACGAGAGAGAAAGAGAGAAAGAGAGAGAAAAAAAGAGATGCTCCTTGTAACGCAGCCCAATGATACGTATGCACGTATACGTTTCGTAATGCGGCGTTAGGCGCTCATAATGAGACACACGTCGTAAATCGTCGACGGGGAGAGGCATACCTGCATAAATACCGGGAAAAAGTGTAAGACTGTTGACATTTAAAGCGGATGATAATGATGCGCTGCCGCTGTGCCGCTGCCGATTACAGATTCCCTGCCCGCGGAATAAAACAACGTGGTTAGCTTTAGCGGTCCCGGCCGGGACGCTCGGCGAAACGGTGTGTCCGTGCCTGGTAGCGTGTAGCGTTTAGTGGAAAACGCGCCGAGAACTCTCCGAGAGCATTACGAAATATTAAGTGAGAAATAGCGGACCGCGTCGACGCGACAGCAACGTATAAGACAAATGCTACACATGAAATCGTGGGAAGTCTTTTAATTGAATTAGTAAACATTTTTTCAGCATTACTCAAGTAAAAGACATTACGTCGTATCTCGTCTGTCAGTTTGTGCTGAATTTATGAAAAGTACACTCTCCTATAAATTGCGTTTCTTATTATGCGCGTCGCATATTCTGAAACCAATATTGATCGAGAAATATATTCCCTGTTTATTGTTTTGATTAATATCCCTTTCTAACATTTACGCATCCCTATACGCGTAATGTATGTCTACGGTCTCCCTGAAAAAACTTGAGACAAACAAGTTTCGTTTTTTATTCATTACACAAAATGTAATTTACACTGTATACGTGATGACGCTAATAAACGTACGTGGATTAAAATACGGGATATATAATGAAAAAATTATTTGATATGTACGTTATTATGCGCGCTTGGTGAGATTATTTAAGTACAGTGGGACGTTGATAGTTGATGAGGAACTGAAAAGAACGTTTTTCTGCAAGGATCTTTCGACCTTTCAAGTGGACAAGACTGTTTCTTTACGGTCAAGTGGTGGCGGCCGACTTTAGCCAGACACATTCTTGATCGCGGGAAGCATAGATCTACGGATTACCCTATCGCAACCACTGTTTGACCCCTGAACTATCAACCACCGGTTAAATCGAGAGATCTGTTAACAGGAAAGAAAGGCGTGATTGCGATGTTTGATATAATCGTCGATTTACCATTCTTTCTGCGGAGCCTCGAGTGACACCTCCATGAATAATGCGATGATAATAGGGAAGCTAATACTCTTCACATTTATAGACACGATACAACGCTACTTCAGTTTCTTATCCAACTCTCGAATCTCTCGCCTTCTGTTGGAAACAGAAATAATGTATAATGTGCTTGAATTAACAGTAATTTAACAAAAGTGTAAGTTACGGGAATAGAGTATTAAATTGTGGTTTTATATAATAAAATATTTTACAGGGCCAAAGCAGTTTAACTTCCGAGGGCACAACTATTTCTACAGCGGGCACGTGCCAGCTCATGCCAATCAGAAGGTGGACTGGTTAGACGCTAGAAACATTTGCAGGGAGTACTGCATGGATCTCATTTCGATAGAAACCCAAGAAGAAAATAATATGGTCTTTAGGCTCATCCAGCAGAGTAAGTACTTTATCTCGCGACCGTCGGGCTCTCATGAAACGTGCCGACACGTACTTGCGCGTCGCTCCTTTATGAATCATTCTTACTGTTCCACATTGTAAATTAGAGATCAATGCATGATCGAAGGACAAAATAGCAAAACGGCTCCATTTCTGTTCATGAAAAAAGAAAAACGCGGCGCGAGGTCATATTTGTAGTTGAAATAATTTTAATAAGCACAACCCCGCCGAAAGAAAAATCTTTACTCGCGATAAAACAATTTCTTAGACTTATACACATTGCTTTACACATTAGATCGGTTGGATCTATTATAATCGAGAATAGTTTACGTATTAAATATTTTGATGTGCATTCGTATTTAAAAATTACATAATTATTTAAATTTGACCTATAAACGCCTAGTAGAGTATCGTCTACGAAGTAGAGTTACATCCCTCGATCGTTAGCAAACACGAAACATCGCTTTCAGTTCCTCTTATTTCACTTATAATTTATTAGTGCATCGCAGCACGACACGCACGAGTAGGGAAGTACGAATTCTCAAGTTTGTTCGAATCGAGAAGAGTAAATCCAACTCGCGTCCCTTTGACAGTATGGATACTTAGAAAGTTTTCACACGGCATACAACCGTAATGGTGACTCTGGTAGCGAGTCATAAATATCGACACCGACACAGCGATTTACCACGACAACTTTCATCCACGCGATAATCATTCGGCAGTATTTCGAAACAAGCGGCCCGACGTGGAACATCACTGCGCGTTCGATTCGGATGATTAACGACGATGCTTCCCCCTTACCCTCTCATTCTCTTCATTACGACCTTTCGGGCTACAGCGCGATGCGTTTAAGCGTAAGAACCGAAAGTGCAATTATAACCGGATTATATCTTACTCACAATTTAACTGCTTTTACTTTTGTTAGTATCTTGCTTCTTTTCCGTTTTTCTTTAGCATTAGAAACTATGTTGAACTTGAATGATTGTGCAAGTTGTGATAAATAATTGCCGATATAGCTAGTCGTTAAAAATGTATTTCTTTTTTATTTTATAATTCGATTTGGGAAAAAAAAAACGATTAAAAGTTTATCTGACGACGCAAGCAATTTAATTTGCTATTTCAATGATTAAAACCGAAATAATTAATCAAAGAATGAATTCATCGATGACCCAGGAAAATTAAACCGCAATGCCAATCATGATCGCATGAATTGGAAATTGAATAAGCAGTAGATCACCCGCGAATTAATACAAATTGCCGGAACATTTGTCGGATTTCACTGTCGCTTCTAACCGCAATTATCATAATCGTGATGATACCTGTTCATCACGAGCGATATTCATCACGAAGAGGAATCGTGGAAGGCGAGTCGGTGAGTGTAACGACAGTTTTCAAGGTAATGCGGGGGTCTTGAAGTGGGTTGAGGCTATAGAGACTCTCGTCTTTTTATATAACAGCATCGCGCGCGCGGTGCATGAATCTTTTTGCAATCCGGCGAAAGTATAAGATGGTACCGAATTGATTTCGCTCGGGAATACTACGTGACTAGTCTTCTCGTTTAATTACACGCTGGAAGGACTTTTCATACCCACAGTCCGCACACTGAACTACCGTGTTTAAAGCGATTTCTCTGTAATCATCGTGATTCGATAAGAAATTATAAGTCAGCGTCCGTTGGTTGTGCCTAAAAATGCTTCTTCTCTTTCTTGACGTTATTCATCAGTTTCGTTTCCTATATAGTATAGTAAAAGTTGTCGCGAAAGTGTGTACTTAAGTTTGAGTTTTACATTTAATAATCATGTAGCCATTTATTAAATCGTTTAAAGCTAATTTCGATTACACAAAATTTCTCGGGATTATATACTTTCGGGAATAAATAAAATATCTAATTTAACGGCTGCTAAACCTGTGACAGAAATATTTTCAGCCTTTTTTTTGGGGGGGGGGGACGAGCAATCGATTTAACACAAAATCTATTTTTTTTCTCAGACGACGTTCCTTACATCTGGACGTCCGGACGTCTCTGCGACTTCAAGGGCTGCGAGAATCGACGTGACCTCGAGCCCAAGGCCCTGTACGGCTGGTTCTGGTCGGCGAATCGCGAGAAGATGGCACCCACCAACCAGGCGCCGAACGGCTGGGGTTTCAATCCGTGGTCGCAGACCGGCCACAAGAAGGTCAGGCAGCCGGACAATGCCGAGTATGACATCAACGGCACCAACGAGTCCTGCCTGTCCGTCCTGAACAACGTTTACAATGACGGCATCGCCTGGCACGATGTTGCGTGTTACCATGAGAAACCGTTTGTCTGCGAGGACTCTGAGGAGTTGCTCAACTACGTGGCCAGCACCAACCGCGGTATTCGCCTCTAAAGCGATCGCGGTCAGCCGACACCTACGTGGTGATCATGCGATCGTCCATCAGCGTCATATCAGCACTTTCCTTCTATACTTCCCGTCGCGGAGCCGACGAGACACGTGCCGAATAGGGACGCGGCAATTTCCACGTGGCGATTCTTGGTTCTTGGATGATCACGGAGAATCTTTTACAATCGTGTTAGATATGACATAAAAAAAAACTTCGCGTGATTCTTTCGTAATTAAAGTAAAATTATAATTTATATATAATAACGATCTTTTTTATAATTATATTTTATAATAAAGTATTGTAATGTAGTGTATAGTGTTTTCGATCGAGTGTCATCCGAAATAAAAACTCGCTAGAATTATAATTTTATTGTCTAAAGTCTTTTTTTTTTATTAATTCACACATCACTGCCGACATCCTGTATGAATTTCCATGATGTGATCATCGGAGAATCATTTATACGAGATTTTCTAAAAAGTAAAATTAGAAAAAGCAATTTGTCGGATATCACGCGCTTGTATAAAATATCAGTAATTCGTTTAATTTACATCCTATTCTAATCATTTTAATGAATTTTAAAAACGCGATATTAAAAATGTCAAACAGAAGCGAAAGTGTAGAATTAATAAAATGTGCGAGTAATTTTTTATTGTATAGCGACTAATTCAATCTAAACTTATTCGGTACTGTGACTTTAATATGAATTGCTCCATTTGAATAAAAATAAACGTATTTATTACTGCAATTGTACTTGTGAAAGTTTGTAGTATGAAAAAAATGTATTTTGCTAGATTATTGAACAAACGTGTCTCGTCACTGCGCTCTTTCTGCACTCATCGTATCGAAGAAACTCAACAATAATTTTATACTTTGTTTAATTTGTAATCACAGTATCCGCTGAAGAGAGTAATTAATTGTGTACATGTATTTATTGATATAAATTTGGCTGGCAGTCTCTGTACATTTATGAATAAACGTTAATCTTATGTAAATTATATACATTATTAATTAGTATTAAATCCTATATATTATTCAATCTACGTACATAATCCTACAAAAATATTACAATAAGAAATTATCTTTTAAAATTATATAATTAATTAAAAACAATTCTTTTATTAAAATATAAAATACAGTAAAAAATTATTTAAAACCTTAACTTGATTTAAAAAGTTAATTCCTGAAATCTTTACAGTTTAAGTAATCTTTAGTTTTAACTATATAATTAATACTAATAATTTTGCATGTTTCTAAGTAGATATAAGTGATTTAGATATAGTGTGCATGTCTCCTTATTTATTTATATTCTCAACAAACTAAAGTAACCTAATTATATCCTTAGATACTAGATAGCTCGGGTACCTCGGGGTTGCCAATCCCGTACTCACAGATGTGAGCCCCTGAGGATTGTACCATCACAGCAGATCATAAAGTCTCACTTTACCTGGCGCTGGAAGTAAATTCCGTCTCGTCGATAAGAAATCTTTGTATGATCAATTAACGCTTTAAATAAAATCGAATTATCCTGCCACAAATATAAAACATACTTATAAAACATAATATCCAATAATAATAAATCATAAAATAAATATTGTTATAAAATAATAGTAATACATTATAAAATAAATATATTGTAAATTAATTGTCCAAATTTAAGCAGAGTAATGCAAATTTCCATACGACATTAATAATATCTTGTCGATGATTATACGTATGTGATTATAGTCTTTTTCATAATATGTATAAATAAAAGAAAGAAATAACAAAATTTCAATTTTTTAAAATTGAAATGCTTGAATTGCTCATGATTTGTTTTCACTTTGTTTTTAATTATATATACTCTGTCGATTTTTAAGAATTTGGATTTTTATGGTTCAAAATCCTGAATTTAAAATTTTAGGAATTCTTGGGATCACATTTTCTTGGAATTCTTGAAGCATTCTTGGAATTTTAGACACTCTTCTTATCAATTAATTTTTCTTTGTCGATTTTCAAGAACTTGAATCTCGCGATTAAAAATCTCAAATTTTTGAAATTGTAATAATTGAAAATTAAAAAAATTTTGAAACTTTTTTGAAATTTTAGCTGATACAATCTTCGTGCTGAGTGTATTTTTCTAATTCTTTGTCAATTTTTCGCGATTTAAAACATAATATTTTTTCAATAAAGTTTTCAGCAAGCAAATAAAAATACTCAGTTGATGATAAACAAACTCTACTTATGGTACTCAATATATCTCACTGAAACAACTGAATCGGCTGGCGATAACGTAGTGTGCAAAGTAGATTTCTACCTTTCGTATTATCTTCTTTCTTTCAAATAATACACAAGTTTCTTATAACAATAACAATGACGTAATCATTAATGCCGAAAATTATGATAATAATAATTTATTTAGTTATAATGATATATAATATTGATCAAGTTTTACTCAAATGTATATAAATAACGGAATGACATTTCCTATTTATACAATATTATACAAAAATTAATGCACAAACAAATAAGATAGAAAATTAATAAATTAATTTTTTATTTCTATATATAAAAGTAAAATATAGTATTCTTTACACCTTAAAGAGATTTAAAAATAGAAATTGAGTAAAGAAAGGGATAGAAATGTCGGAAATGCTAAAAAGTCGTCTGATATTTAAAGATCTTTATTTCAACAGTAACAAATCAACATATATTCTTTTACAATCGTTACTGTTGAGATGCAGATGTTTAAAAGAGTTGACGAATTTTTATCCTCTTCTCTTGTATCGCTAGAAGTACGCATAATTTTCATAATCTGCATTTTAGACTTATACGATGAGATTCTTCCTGCTTGGTCATAGGTATAAAAAGATAATATCAATTGGATCTTTTAAATACCATTGTATTTTTCTTCTGCCGCGGCGAATGTGTGTACAGAAAATTACTATGCGAATTATCTAAGCGAGGATTCGTAGTTATCACGTTTTGTACAATATATATATACGTTATATATATAATGATACAATAATGATGACAATAATTATAAGAATAATAATTAATTCATCGACAATGATAAATGGTGAAAAATGACAATGACGATGCTTTGTGATGAACAATGACAAATGACGTACGATGAAGACAATTAATATTAAATGCCTGAAATTTTCTCTTCATCTTTCGCACGCACACATACGCTCTTTTTCTGTTTGTCTCTCTGTCTCTCCTTTACTAGTTCCACCTCTTTGGCTTGTGTACAGTTGTGACTGTTCGTATAATATAAATTATTAACGTTATTATTTTATTTACTATATCAGTTGTGTATTCATGCAGTCCATCTTGTGTGTCTTTGGACCTTATCGTTATCGTGATCGGGCATCTCGGAGTTTCTCGCTGCGGAACAGAAATCGCGCGACCACAACTTACTCGAACATACTCGCAGTTTTACATTTAATCATCGTTCGAACGCAAGCTTTTAACGATTGCTTTGATTAATTCAATAATTTAAATTTACATATTCGTGTTTTTGACTCGGGGTAACTTTACGATTAATTACAGCGATCGTGTTTTTAATTTATTACATAAAGACGCATACAGAAAATTGACAAACCAATGGTAACTTATTCGTAAACGTAAAATGTCTTCGCGATATTAATTATCTTTTCCGTTCGTGATAATTGCTTTACGTTGCATAGGATTAATTAGGAAGATTCGTACGATATTTATCTAATATTTCGCACGCGTTCGCAAAATTAGTGTAAGTTTAGTGCTAATACGGTTGCGGGTTAATGATGAAATTTCAGAAAATATCCCAAGCGAACGCCGGTCTCGCCAAAATTGTCGACGGTCGCAGGTGTTGCCGGGGTCGCAGGTGCGTCTATGATGCGGCGGCGCGCCTTTGCTGTATTAAGCGAGCTAATTAAAAATAAAACGAAATGACGAACAGACAGACCGGGAGGTTTCTCCGCGAACGGGCGCGTACGCGGTCCTCCACTTTCACCAATAAATAATTATACCTACTTAATGACAGTGTGACACGCACAATATAAAAATTAACGGATCGCGCTTTCCAGCCGATCGCTTAATCACTCGATCGAAGATCGCATAGTCAGGGGACTAAAAAAAAAACGGTACCGGATAAAACACGCGCCGCTTTCCGCTGGACCCGTTATGTATCGCTTCAGTTATTCAATACCGGCGCAAAAAAAAATATAATAAGAAAATCCGGCAAAATATTTCGGTTCTTGGCGCAGTCTCGGTCATACTTTGTACATAAATTCACGCGTCCTTTCACGGTAATTAAATAATAACAATATATTCTATATAATACAATAATAAATTAATTGTTAAATTATTATGCGATCGTTTCCATTTACGTATATATCGATACATAACAGATTCATGAGCATCTTCGCTTTAGATGTCCGGGATCGTGATAAACTCAACACACTTGTGACTCATTGGCTTACTTTTTTTTTAACGAATACTATACCGTAAAAAAGCGGCAGGCAAAGAGAAAGTTTGCCTACAGAACAGTTCCGTATCAAACGAATTTCCAAAGTATAGAGTATAGAGAAATGTACTCTACAAATTTTCTATCTCTAGATGAGTTTGAGAAAGATGAACATTATACATATACTCGACATATATACTCGACAAACCGTAATTTTGCGGTAATATATTCATTTAAATATTCATTTAAATACGCATCACAGAGTTATAGAGAAACTAAAGTAGGAACGATTACGATATGTACGATACAAAATTAAGCTAATGAGTTTAATCATTGCGCTCCATCGTAGACTTCACGATCCTCGATCGCTACGAACAAACATAATATTCGCGCATATCCATTTGCTTTAAATATTAACATGCATGGATGCACACACACACGCACACACACACACACATACGCAATTGTTACACGCACTCAGGCGGGATGCGCGTCGCCCTCTTTTAAATAAAACAAAAAAAAAAAAGAACAAAAAAGAAGATACAGTGACCTAAACTCGAGCTTTCAAACGCGGATCGAGTGGCAGAGCGTAAATTAAAGTCCAGATAGCTTCGAGCGAGACGCTGTTTCCCGGTGTTGTTTTTCTCATTTCTTTTGGGCTCACTGGACACCCGGTTCGGAAATCCGATGACGCTTTTGGAAGGGTGACAGATGTGTGTTGATAAGAAAATTCGATTCCGAAACGACTTTGACGTTTGTTTGTTGAAGCCCGTTCATGATGAGAGAGCGTTCATGAAAAGGGCGAACTTCAATTATTGCTCGGACGCTGAAAAAAATTTCGAGGCGAATCCTCTTTCACCGGCAACGCGATATTGTAGCGCGTCGATATAATGGCAATTCCCGAGTAAGGCTCACTCATACGCACGCGTTTCCCCTTCACGGTTTCAATCACGCCATTAGATGTACATATAATGCGACGAAGTATCATCGCCAGAGCATTTAGGTATACACATTATGCGGGTCATTTACGCGAGGGATTTCGGACGACGTATTATTTATTCCCACATTCGAGTTACGAGCGTGTGTAAATAATTATGCGTCGCGCGTGCTCTTTGGCATCGTCATTTAACCCGACGGTGGATTAATAAAACGGAAATCATACGCCATAAATGTTGTATGAAGTCTCTAAATTATATGTTTCCCCGTTGGATGTTAATAGCCAACGGATCGACACCTGTTCGATTTTCCTGGGGGAAAGCGGCTCTTTTTGGCGGGGGCCGTATTTCATCGATGCATAAATTATCGTTAACAACGATGGTAATTAATGGGAGCTCGAATCGATCGAGCGTTATGAAAGGTTCAGACCACTTCAAAAGAACTCAAATCATTGCCGCATTTATGAAGCAAATCGAATTAAATATTTAACAAGACTGTATATGCATAACGAAAATCACGTTCAATTTATCGATATAAACTTAATAACTTTGCTCTGCATTAATAATTTGTATTTATTTATGTAACAATAGAAGCAACGTTTATTGACTTATCGATAAATATGCGCATCGAAGATAAAAATCTTAATTTGCCCCGCGTTATTTATTCGATAAGTTAATTAGGTAAGTTATTTCTCCGAGCATTAATGCATTTAATTCCCAATTGATCATCCATTTCAACCCGTTTTATTAGTTATTTTATGTACGAGTAAAATTGATGAAAGATGCTCTCGGTTTTGCACTATAATAAAGAGTGCTTATTTTTTCGTCGGCGATTGGAAATACTTGCAGATCCGTATGTGGGATACTTTCGACCATATATAATTGTCGTATCTAGAGCCGCTGCACGATACGGCCGCTGCACGATACGGCCGCTCGCTGTTAAAAACCGACATTTTTGCTCCCCTTTTGCATTCTTCCGCCAAGTACACACTTGTCGACTGACATAGCCAGCCAACCGTCGAAGCTCTCCTTCGTCTCCTCGACTCTTTGAGCAACCACCTTTTGGGCGCTCTTCAACGTCCTCTCTTCTCGCTCTCTCAGTGTTCTCCTTAAACCTCCTTAGACCCCTCGACCTCCTCCTATTCTTTCTCTCTTCTTTACGTCACCCTTCTTTCTCAGCGTCATCGGTATCTCGACCTTCTTTCACCGTCTTAAAGCGAGTTACATAGCCGTCATACTTTAAGCTAGGATCTGGCGTTAGCTGCCTTCGCGGGTACTAATTGACTAGCATCGTTAATTACTCTCGTTTGATCTCTCGCTCGCGCTCGATTCGCGTCCTCTTGGAGCTCCTTCCGCTACTCTTCTCGAAGACTACTTCTCCGTCTTACGCCACTCAGGCCGGCCGTGCCATATACCAGCACTAGAAATTACTTTCATCCTTGGTGCCACGAAAGATGCGATAGCAATTAACAATAATATTAATAAAAATAATATAATAATATATTACTGTTTCATACTAAATCTTGTGTATTATTTGGTATCGTACGTTATCGTTTATTACACTACAACCAGTGCAACATAAATAATAATACATTAGTTTGATCCCCGTCGAAACAAGGAGAAACCTACCGGGCAGAATTTCCAGCTTTTTTTCCTCTCCTGAACGTTAAACGCGCTACCCTAAATCGCGTAAGTATGGGAAAATAATTTTCAGTCGTCGACTAATTGACGATTTTACATATTTCACCTCGTGGCACTCGCGTAGGGTTTCCCAGAGCCGAGAAAATGACCCAAAAAATATCGGAAAGAACTGGGTACTTCGTACACGTGGGATTCGTGAACAACACAGCTGTGTGTTCGCTTTTTTTCTTTTGCGAAAAATAAATATAGGATTTCGCGGAATATAGGTTTGCGCGCCGTCGCTAGGAATATGATAATATAATCGCTAATTAATTGTTACCCAAGAACACATACGTGAAATCAAACGTGTTTTTCCCTCTTCCGGTATTTCCACGAGAAAGGCAGAAAAATGTGGGCATTTAACGCGATTTATATAACACGCGAATCGCGTTAAACGGCGGACTTTGAGGAAACGAAAGGCGCGCACGGCGCTAAGTCGTATTACAAAATAGGCAGTGCGTCGGGCTACCTCGACAAACGAGCAACCTATACAACTAAACATTTAGAGAGACACATACCGCGACACTATCCAAACTAACTGTACAGACTTTGGCTCGCAGTATTCGAACTTTGTTCAGCGTCGCGTTTAGCTTCCGATTTTGGACTTTATCAGTCACCGCGCATTCAACGCTAAATGAGCCGTCAGGCAAAGTTAGACTTTCCATATTCTGCGGGGAACAAAGCTCTTCCGTAATCTCAGTTACTTTGATACATCACTTTCTTATAATTTTATAAATAAATTAATCTTTGTCTTCCTGTGTGATAGATTATAAAAAATGTATTTTTTATGAATTTATATCATAATACAATCCAAAAGGGTTTGAATGCGGTTGTGTAATTGTGAAAGCAATTTGTAGTTAATTAACTTAATTTGTAATCGTTTACTGTAATGAAGATAATAGGCTAAATAAATATCCCCTCTCGGTGGAAATTAAACAATTATATTTGCGGTTAAACGCGCGGTGAAAATGCCCGTCTAGACGATTCATCGAGTAGCCGCGAATAAACGCTAAACATTATCGGAATACCGACCATCATCGGTACAGTTGTCGTTTAGGTCGCACGTCACGCGGCCGGCAATCGTACGATCTGATTCCGAAGACACGATGACACGATGATAAATTAAAGGTGAGGAACATATGTCTCGCGTGTGACTATGTACACTAAGCGTGTGCTCTCCCGAGAATGTGCGGTTCTTTCTCTCTCTCTCTCTTTCTCTCATCGATTTAAATACAATATGTATATTTGTATATGTATATACTTACGACAACGACGCGAAACGACTAGACTGTGACCCGACTCGAACTCTCTTCTTCCCTTCCTCTTCTCATTTTTTTTCCTTCTTCGCTCTGTCTCGCGCCTCCCTCCTCTTTACTTGCGTGAAACGCTTCCATACACACGCAAAAACACACACAAAATCTCTATGCTATATACAGGTATTTACAATGGTTTACAATTAATGCGCGTTAATGATCGCGCGCGTAGGCAGATGCGCCGTCAGGGGGATTTTGCGAGAACGTTAACGAGCGGTCGTTATCGAAAGCGCGGACTAGCGACTGAAAACCGACCGACAGGATCGGTCGAGTGTTGTTTTGTCATAGGCTTGATCGCCGTTGCATTGCGCATTATTACATCCATCATGTAGAAAGCTCCGTGAGTGCTCTCGCGAAAATCACAATCGCGCGAACGGCAATGCGCGACGATACGAAGCGTAAATGCTGTTTGATTTATGTACACAATTGATAGTCCCAATGCTTATCTCGAAATATTATCTTTCTGCAATATTAAATAGTGTTTCTTTACAATGATACAGTACGCGTTTCGACGATATTGCGTTCGTAGGCGTGATTTGATTTTCGCGAGCGCAAAGTTGAAAGTGTCTTCCTTTTTTTAATTTTTTGCGCAAGACTTTGTAATGTAATACAATGACACGGAAAATATGCAACGGCTATTTGGATGAATTTTTTATGACTTGGAGAATCTGCATTCCTATGATCGATCTATCTATGCGCGATAATGTATGTCCGAATATCAGCGAATTTTTGTTGCGATTTTCGTGTTGGTTCATGAATTCTTCGCGAAATCACACACATTATAAAGAATAATACATAAACTCGATAATTGTGCACATTTGTGAAGCATCTATAGAAAACAGTAGTAACGCCAAACGATTACAAAAGTTTGAGAAATACGAAATAATTCTAATTAATTTAGGAGAGCTTCGTGGCAACTCGGAGCGTCTCCACTACACAAATGGATCTTCCAGCAGATATAATAATGTATATAAAAAAAACGATTATTATTGTATATATATTTCATAAACAATACTCACATCGTTTTCCATGAATACTTCACAATTATTTGCGCGATTCGATTAGCGGTATTCTACGCACTATCGTCGAATTAGTGATCAATTAGCAATCTGCTCTCTCCTCTGTAGAATTTCTTCGCGGCTAATCATTCATCTCGATCGAAAAAATCTCCCACCGGCACGAGCTCTTCATCATCAAACTCGACGCATTCCGCTCTTCTACGTTTCCGTCCACGTCCACGAATTCGTCTCGCGAGTCGAATGTTTCGAGAGGGTTTCGAGAGGAACGTCGATGGTTACCAATTTTCTCGACCGCGGTTTTTGTTTCACATCATCTTCGTACCTCTCCGTCGCGGTCATTTGTACAATGTTTCATCGACCGCGAAGGATCCATTAAGTCCTCCCGTTTCCTCTTTACCTCTTCTGTTGCTTTACTTCGCTGTTGTCCAATTTCTTTCCCTCTCACTCTTTCTATCATCATCTTCCTCTTCTTTTTCTTTCTTTTTCTCGTCTCCGAGCAAAGAAATGTCTTCAACAACGCGACAAAGGACAGTGAGCGTTTGTCCACACAGTCGAGTATGATTCTTTGGTTTTTCCGAGGACGACTGCGGCCAGCATTACGCGGAAATAAACGAATGCCATAAGAGAGAATTCCCCTTGCAGCTTGTTCAGGTTCGGATAGAAATGCCTCCTTCCTGAAGGATTTTGCGTTTTCCGAGTGGCCGACCGACCTCGTGATCCAGCTTGATTCTTTGGTTTTTCTTCAGAATACGGAAGAATGCGCGACGACGGGATTGAACGACTAGTCTCGCGATCACGCGACTTCCTCTTTCCCGTAAACCGACGAGGAAGAATATTATCCGTAACCTTCCCGTACGCTGTTCCGTCGACACGCGAAGACATTTTATCGTGGTTCAGGATGCTCATCTTGCAACAATAACGTTTCGTTGTCCCGCTGATGGCAGAAGTATGCGGGCCTAACAGTTGTTCTTTTTTAATGATTAAACCGCTCACAAAATCCGCCCGCATTCCGCCGTGATGAAGTAGACCTGACGTTGCGTTTAAGAACCTTTCGCGGGATGACGGGACGAACGCGGACTGCTTTATCGAACAGCAAAGATGAAACGTTTAATGAGGACATTCGCAAAATTTTTTCTTCCTCCTTGCTCCTGTCTTTTTCCGGAAGTGCATCGCGTTTGCTTTTACTGATCACTATCGCTTCCATTCGAATTTCTTTCCTTCATTAGAATTTTTAATCGATAATATATTACATTCCCTCGCTCGTTTCTCGCTTCTTTTCGACAAGCGCTCTGTCGCGTCTCTCGACTGTCGCGCGCAAACAGGCCGGCTTGGAAGAAAATATATACTACGAAACTATTAGCGATCCTTTTCGCGCGGAAGGAGATCGAAGTCACGTTCTTTGAGAAAAACGACTGCCGACGACCCCGTCGCGTAACTCTCGTTCCTTACGTATCCTTCACCTTCGGTGCTTCGGGAACGATTTAGCTCACGGTTCAGCGTGCCATCGAGAGTCCGCGATACTTGAAAATCTCCCTCGACGTTGCTCGACGATGACGGCGTCTCCCGTCCTTTCCTTCGTTTCTTCCTCTTCTTTTTCTTCCAAGGGCGATCAGCTTCGCGTTACGTGTGCCTCGGCTGGCCGTACGCGAAGCTGATCTCGCGTCATGGATAGTCGGGGTGCATCAGATTGTACATGATCGCGAAGATCGTGCAGGCGGCGTAGACGCCCAAGGCAACCCACCAGAGTAACTGCTCGTGTAGCCGCTGCTCGAAGTTCTTCAGTACCAAGAGGCCGATTGTTAGGCCCGCCAGGGCGCCCGTCAGATGGGCGACGTACGACACCGGCGGGCCCATCTGCTCCGCGGCGTACCTGTCGTAGATCGCGAAGCCCACGTCGGCGCTGGCTGCAATCAGAGATATCAAGATTTCCATACAAATTTCTTACTGCCTGTTTAGAATTGTTACGCGTGATTTCGAGCCTCTCGTTTCTCCACGCGTGTTTCAATTCAAACTTTATCCATAAACGCTCAATTTAATAATCTTATTTATTGAATTTTAAATTAAAATTATAGACTTTACGTTTATTATTTTTTAAATTAATAAATTTACAATTAACAGGTGCAAACAGATTGGTGAATTAATTTAAAATGAGCAAAGTAAAAAAATAAAGGAAAAAATGCTCTTATCGTGGCGTGTTCTCTCTTAAGATTCTTTCTGGTTGTCTGTCTTGAAAGTACGACCGATAAAAATGGCGCATAGTAAGGCGATAAGGAGAGCATAAGAGGAACAAGAAGAGAAACAAGAAAGTGAAAGAGAGTAGAGCAAAAAAAGTAAGGATGCCACGAAGAGCCGAGCCGACGGCGAGCTTTGAGAAGCTCCCGAAGTGTCGTCGAGAGAAGAGCTTTCCTGCAGCTTCCTCAGCGGCTTTTTTCTACGTCTGCGACCATCGTCGATGATTATGTAAGTTCGTTGTGCTCCCGTAAGAAATTTGCTTCTTCGTTAGTTAATGTAGAAATGGGTTTTGCGCAGCCTGGACACAATTGGATCATCCTTCGTCTTTCAAAATCTACTAAGCATTTTAACATCCTCTAAGAATTTTTTGATCTTTTTAATAAATGCAAATTATTATTATTATTAAATTATTATTTCTTTTAGAGATTCTCTTAAACATTACGAGTAATTCACAAGATTTTATTTTTCTAGAAGATTTTTATTTTAACTAATATAAAATTATATTGTTCTTTAAAATTTTTATAATATATATATTGTACCAAAACTGCAAAAAACTTGATAAATAATTGACCTCCAAGTTAATTTTCGTTAAAATTAAATTAATATCATTTAAGTACAAAGAAGAAAAGATTTTGTCATCTTTTTACAAAGACACATTTCATTTTCGACATTTAGTAATTCTGCAATTGAGTTTAAAATTTTCATTAACGAGATATTAACTTTAAATTTATCAAGGCATTATAACTTTGAGGAAGTGTACGAATTCTGATGTACATCCTTTATACTGTTTTCTTTCTATTCTCAAACGCGATCTCTTTATGTCGCTGTTGCCGTTTAACTTTGGATAGCAAGGTTGAGTTATACAACTCTGGAAGTAACAAAAGCTGGGCCCTCTCCAAGCTTTTCCGTCTATTCGCTCTCCTAACTTTATTTTCTCGACTGCAATCAGTATATCCATGAGTATATCCATTATATAATATTCGATTGTTGTGTCTTTTTCATCATAACGATATCCTTCATTTTTGCACCGATTCTATGCTAGCTGTTTCGTTTCAACTTATATATAACCTGATTTTGATGAAATTGTTGGGTAAAAGCTTAGTTAATATTAACTAGTTAATATTGAATTATACATTATTATATCTGAAACACTTTTGGTAATTTGTAAACCTCATCCACTTTATTATTAAAATTGATTATTGTCAAAATATATGATTACTCTATAAACTTCGTTTAATAATTAATTATACGCCATCTCCATCTAAATTACATTTACTTATATAATTAAAATTAAAATTTTCTCATCGCGTGAAAATTTATTTCATTTTCTTCAATTTTCTCCAACTCCTTTTTTCATCGAGATAGACTCCGGAGCCCTTATTGTTCCATAATCTTCGAGTATCGCACATCTCTTCTTTAATTTTCAATCAAGCTTACTCAGGCGCTATCTTGATGACTCAATAAACACGAGTGACGACACCGTGCTCGCTTGAAAATTTGACGGAACAGCCACCTGTTCTTCTGGCGGCAAACAATCCCAACGTCGGCGAAAATTCTCCACGGCGATCACAGCGCGAGCACACCTATCTTTTAATTAAAACTTCAGAATAGCGACGGCTTTCGTGGCTCCTCTCTTGCGCTTTCCAGCTCTTATCGCGGGTGGAGGGAAAAAACGAGGAAATTGAAATTTCAGGAGAGGTACCGAACGAAGCGTGAATAGAGAAAATCGGACTAGGTGACAACGAACGAAAGTGAATGCAAAAAAGATATTAAACGTTACTGTTCAGTAAAGGTCCTTAAAGAATAAGTCTATTCTTAATCGATAAATTCGATATTTGTGAACGATTCTATTAGGTTCGATAAACGATATACCTATAATTAATACAATTTTCAAACTCGTTAATTAAACGCAATCATCGACATTTGAAATTGTTTCTAAGATATGAAGAAATTCAAATCCCTCTTGAATCCCTTCACAGAGAGGTCTGATTGCAGTTGATAGTGGCGCATTTTCTTCGCGTCTTAAGACGTTGTGGGAGAGAGATACCTCGCCACGTCGCAGACTCCTGCGAGAGGCGTCATTTGCATTCGCGGCTGAACGGATGACCCGCTTCCATGTCGTGAGAGAGCAGCGCGTTTATCGATCAAGCTCTACTTCGCTCGTCAGGCACTCGCGCGCTGGGATTACGATGTAATCCAAGTCGAAGCGCGTAGATCGGAACGGGCCCAGAGGCTGTTACTACCCGCGGACAGGGAGCTACGCGAATATATTGGGAACGGGGTGCGAGTAGTAGGACATAGAGAGGGAGAAAGCAACGGCGAATATCCGAATCCGTGCTGACGGTAATCAACCCCTTAAACAAGGTTATTGAAGACTCGAGAGGCTCCGTCGAGGTGAATTTGAGGCGACTCTAGGGCCACTAGAACCAGATAATGCGCACGTACAGTGGCGGTCAGATTACGTGCTATACAGGCCCCCGATACTAGAGTTCTACGTCTTTGCCAATATCGCGCTATTATTACGCTACGTCGCCATAGGCGCCGCGTTCTGAGATTGTATTCTTGCTCGGAGAGGTCCGAGGCACTCTACTTTAATCCTTAAAGACGTGACTGCAAATTTGCGACTCTAAAGGTCTTTGCTACTTTGTAAAGAGACTAGTGGAAAGACGAGATACCGTTCAGAAACTGTTCTCCTCAGCTTTTAAATATTTCTCTCCAATTTTTCATAACGAGGATTAATCCTCCTTTATCTACATCACAAGCACGTTAGAATCTTTTAAAAATTATTTTCCATAGAGAGGATTAATTCTCCTTTATCTATATCGCGAACTTGTAATAATCATCTAAAAATCTTTCCTATCGCAATCATATTACTCGAAACAATGTTTGTCACATAATATTTTATATACTGTAGTGACTTAATATAACTTCTGATAATTTGTCTGCAATTAGTAAGGAACAAAACGTGATTAATGTATCGTCGGCGCCAATGGTCAATCGTGACCGCTCTCGAAAGCAGTTCGACCGGAGATATTGAGCTGGCAGGTTGAAGGTAGATAGGATTGGTTGCGCGGTGGTTGCGGGCCGACGATCGAGGGAAGTAGGGTCCACTTACCAATGACGAAGATGCCGATGAGCCGAACTATCCCGAACTCCATATTGTTGTAGTTGAGGAGGACGTTGGCTAGATGCGCCGCCAGAAGGGCGTAAACGCCCCCGCTTGCCCCGACGAGATACACGTCCGTGTCGAATACCGACGTGCCCAACGAGCCTGAAACCACAACAAAATATAACTTCTTAATAGCTTCTTAATTACTGCTCCAAAACATTTCATTCTTTTCTCGGATCGACGATTTTGCGTGTTTTCCCATTTTTCTGAGCGAGCGTCAGCAATAACAATGATTAATTGTAAAATCTGACAACCAGCACATCGCTACATTTTTAATTTAATTCTGAAAGTTCACGTGAAAATATTCCATTTCGAACAACCGTAAATTAAAGTTCCGTTTCTGTAACTAGATTACTTTTCACTTATAGTATAATAGAATGAAATGTATTTCAGCATTAAATTTGAAGAGTCTAGAAGCAATAAAAGTTATATTTTTACACATTATATTTTGCCACTATTATTCCACCTAGTCTCTCAATTCGCGAATATACGGAATTACGTAATTAACAAAATTTTTCGAGAAGAGAGAACCGAGCGTTCTCATGAAGTTGCGAGCTTTCTGTCGAGAGTTTCGGTCATTGTCTGTCGAATTGGGAAACGCTCGTTCTCGAACAACCGCGAAGTGCGGATAGAATTTTCCGCTTTCGCCGCCCTCAGCAAATAAAATAAGAATAATATTCGCTCTCGACAACTCAAAAGTTCGCATGGCTCTGCGCTCCAGTTTAACGACGCCAAAAACTCTCTCTTTCTCTTCCTCCCTCTCGTCCTTGCCCCATCACTCTTCTTCCAGTTCGTTCGAAAACATCTGTTGCTCCACATGTAATGTGGAAAAAGCTCGTCGGAAAACGAGTGCGCGCCGTAGGAATTGGAATATAGTCTACGAGAGCTCTATACAGTTCGGTTTCTGCAAACTTTCCTACTTTTCTTTTTCAATTAATCATAATAACAATAAATTAAAAAACAGAATCTTAAAATTTCGCAATATTTTAAATGTTAGAATACGCGCATATAAAATAGCAAATCTCTATTCTCCTTTTAATTAATATAATTCTCATATTCTTGCAAATATTTGCGTCCATGGTGGACGCATGCACCTGCAACGCGCTCACCATTCGTAACGTTGACAATACAAAGCGCTTCCGGGCGCTTATAACTAGCCCCGGTTATTAGAAGCGGAATTAGGAGCCTGTCTCCAAGTACCTGCCCCGTAATTTGACAGACTGCCCACGGCGGATGCAGAGGGTATAGTGCTCGCTGCAACGCGTTCAAGACGCGTGATAACGAGAATAGTTGATATAACATCACGAGTATGAGATTACGGCAATCTAATCAACGTTATAACATATACATATGTTTCTCAACGTGTACGATCATACATATGAAAATAATCTTTATCCTGTTAACTCCGCATTAAAAATAAAAAATTTGTCACGTAATAATTCTAGAATCCGTACGTCGCAGCTATCTAAAAATATCGAATAACACTGCGTTCCAATTACACGTCGACGTAACAATAGAAGACAATTCGACGCACGATAGTATCGCAATAACAGCAGCGCGTTCGACAAACTCTGCAATTCGCATGTTTCGTACTCACGTAACATGTAGCACCGTGGAACGGGCGTGTAGCGCGCAGCGCGCAACAATTTCAACCCCGGGAGCAACGGTAATGTATCAGACACACGATCGCGCTAGTTAAACATTAATATCGCGTCGGACGGGCGGATGGTGCTTCGAGAATCGATGCGGCGCCCGCCTATATATCGTGGGAAATGAGCGAGGACATTAGTCGCTTCCTATGTGGAAATGGTGGGCGGCCGGCCGGGTGCTGGTGATTCGGCCGCGTCTAGAGTGGCCGGGCAACACCTGACACCTGGGAACCTGCTGACCGATCGCTCACCGCGAACCTTAACCGTCCGACCCACCTTTGATCCGTCCTAAATTACGAGTGCTGTTCGGACAATACGTCGCGCGTCGCGTCGCGTCCACTTTGACGAGGTTGCCCCGATTTATTAAGGTCACTCCCGCCGCTGTTGATACACGAGATGTGGGGGTTGTTTCCCACATTCTCTTTTAGTTACGAATTCTTTCCGTAAACTGTAGTACATTCTTCTCTGATCAAAAATATCGAAGCATCGATAGTTCTTGAATTATAAAAACGCTTGAAAAACTAGAACCATTAATTTTAATTAAGTTGCGAAGAAGGAGAGAGGAAAAGAGAGCAAGTAAACGACATCCTATTCTTTAGGTAATTTCAGACGAACTGCTCTCTTTCATAAAAAAACTTGAATTTTTTTTTTAAATTATATAGACTCAGGGATAACACGTTGAATTGTGTCATACGCATTGTGCGAAACTTCGCACGCGTGGCATCCTCGTTTCTTGCGAAACCGACGATTCAATTGAATTCGTCGCTACGCACTGGTCATTAACGCGCGACCTACATCGAGCTGCTGCAGCAGCCTTCACGGTAGAGCCATGCGAAGCGCCCCTGTTTCGTAAACTACCTACACGGAGTTTCCGCAAAGCGCAAATCGCGTCTAAGCCGGTGTGCACCGGAGCGACGTGGAAATGCATTAAGGATGCAAACATCAATTCGTGCGAGTTCGCGAATGTTCCGAATTACCCGCAATGAATTATTAACGTCCGCTTAATAAATGATCGAGTCACATCCAATCGGAATATCCAATCGAAAGGAAGCAATTATTCGAGACGCGTGGAATTAGATGGCTCACAATATAACTAACGTCGCGCTCCGGCAGCCATCAATATTTAAGCAATACCACGAGGATGCAACTGCATTTATATCGTGGAGATAAAGACAATTAGCTCCGGTAAAACTTCATCCGATGTAACTAAGAAATCCGACATAGAAATGTGATTATAAAGACACTGATAAAGTGATAAAACCACTAATATTTATTATAACAACGATTATAGATCACATTGGCCAAGAAAGAAACGTGTGATTTATTGCCATGTCTGTAATGCAATATAATGCAATAATGTCGCGTAGCTGCAATAGCGGTAATACGATAATAAAAGAGAGAATTTAGGAAGGGTCTCCCCCCTTCCTCCAACTGTCATCACCAGTCTGTTTGTCGTCGTGCCGTAGTTAATTGAAAGTTGAAGCACGCCGAGAGACCACTTTACCCCAGTGCACGACGAACCATGCTTCTCTGTTGTAGTAATTGACTCGAGTTAACGGATACTAGCTCAAGAGGTTGCTGATTTCCCTCATCCGCTCTCCTTGGTCCAACTTAGACGATGCTGCGAGTATTTACGGTTTACCGTCATTTACCTAACCGAGACTATAGGAAACGAGCCATAGCGAATAGCTTATTCGACCAGCTATGCTAAATTAACAAATCAATACTTTACTAAATTGACTCATTTTAGCATTCAATTATCATCATTAGAAGAAATTTTCATCTTTCTTAGGATTAAAATATTTAATTAGCAGTACTAATTGAAATTCCCTTTACATCGTGTTTCTATGTTAAGTTTCACACACGCATACGTACCTTGATAAATATTATGTTACTTTGAATCTGATCTTATTTAAATACCATTTATGCAAACAAATTTTATTTTGGCGATGTTGTTAGGATTGCAGGCAATAATTAACAAATCGCTGTTTTACTATTAAAAATCGTTTAACTGCATTAATCTTGTGCATGCTGCGTTTTCTCGAAATAAACGGTATACTCGTTATACTCGCGAGTAAATTAGTCTCGTAATTGCAAAAAACGTTCGTGGAATTAATTACGTAGTTTCAATCGCCAAGGCATTTGTGTAAAAAAAAAGTGAGTATGTAAAAGGATCAAACGAGGATATTTTGTACGCTTTCTAGCAACTATATAAGAGTACATGTACGTGCATATACCGCATGTAGATAAGGAGAAAGAAAAAGTAAAAACACGGTAGCAAGGCGCGTTGCGAAAATTAGCGAACTAGCGCGAGGACCAGCGCGATGACTAAAAGAAAGCGGGGAAAAAGGGGAAAAAAGGAGGGTCGCCAAGCGTAATATAGTCCTCGCGGACTTCTCGTGGGTTATGAAATTCATCCGAGCCTTCGTTAGTGCCTTCGGCTTTGCCTTAAGGAAGAAAGCATGAAAGGAAGTGGGTCGACGCGGTCTGCCAACGCGACGCACTAGCGCAAAGTTAATGTCTTCGCGACCTACTCCTATGATTACAACGTGCAGCTCTATCCGTGCAGCTCTATCCGCTCCCGTAACTTGCTGCAATCAGCCTATCTGACAATGAATATCGCTAACTCCGCCAGATACGAACATGTCGGAGAATATCACTGTTGACACTCTGAAAAAGAATTTACGAGAATTTTATCTTACAATTTCAATAAGACATCCCACAATTTCTTTGCAGTTTCTGCGACAAGTTCTCAGCGCCACGAGAATTTAAGTCGAAAAGCCTTAATAATTTACTTCAAAAGTAACTGGGTCTTTCATCGGCCAATCGTGATTTAAAGTTAAGATTTAACGCGCGATAAGAGGTGCCGCACATATTTTTCAACGTACAGAATATCATCGATTAACGACTCGTTGACACCAATAACCGAGTCTGTTGGAACCAAACGGCGCAACGTGCAACAGGTGCAACGAAACCAGCACGGAGGCAGCGTCCAATAGCAAAAAAGACATGAAAAGTGTTGGAAATGCAGACACTCCATATGACTCCTGACGTTTTTCAATCCTAAGAAAATTTTGCATACATCAAAATTAAATGTAAATTTGATTGACGAATAAATTAAATTAAAAAAAACTTTTAAATAATTAAAAATCGAATTTTTAATTATTAAGTCATTTATTGAAAGCATTTTAACGACATAATTTTGTTATGTAATAGTATATAATATAAGCCATTAAAACCGTTGGATTCAAAGTTAATAAGATTTAATAATATTAAGGGCATCTATCTCTAAGAACATTCCCTAATTTTAGGGGGATTTTGTTCTGGTATATTTTCTTAATTTCTTTCAGTTCAATAACACTAAAAAAAATCGAACAATTAACATGTAAGAAAGCGTGGATGAAAACAATATTGTGTTTCATTTGCACCTAACCTGCGATTCGAGTGAGAAAC